TTTTAAATGGAGCACTTCAGCCTTTCAACAGTTACAACTCTGCAAATAAACAACTAACTAAACTCAATTGTGATGCATTTTGAATGCTATAATTCCAATAAAGAAGAAAACCTTTTTAAAAGTCATTTTTTCCAAAGCATAGTTTAAGAGATCAATAATTTTCATTTATATCTCTTTAAATCTGAAATATGTATTGATATGAATAAATATTAAACCAATCAGCCGCAACATTCAAACCACTTTGCTAACACTTATTAAGCATTATCAATTACCATAAACAACTTGGAGTAGGCTGAAGATTAGTCATATTTTATGGATTGCAGTTCCTTACGAGTAGATCAGCTGGCTATGTATTAATCTAAAATCCATGTGGATGCCAGGACCCAGGGTGTGTAAGGATTTTAATATACCAAACTGCGTTTTGAACTTCACGTGCCAGTGGTTTTTATGTTCAGGCTAAGTGGTCACTAAATCATTAAAAACATTAAATATGTTTTATTGTTTATTCAGTGCATGAAAAGCTCACTCATGCAATGTCATGTCTGTGAAGATGTTTCTGCCTGATTGCTACAAGATTCAAATATTATTACCTTTTGGCTGACCTTATGACATAGTAAATTTGAGACAGGGATAATTTTGAGTGTTATTAGATGTAATTAGCCTTATTTGTTATTTCAGCATTGAGTGAGCTGCAGTAACAGGTCACATTGTCAACCTGATGTCATTTTTACTGGGAACAGCATCTACAGTGGCCACATATTATTTACTTTTCAATCATAAAAATGTTGACTTCACTGTATTTAACTTCGTATAATACTGTTACCAAAGGTAAAAGCCCTGGACAAAAGAAAGAACTTGCTGCCATTACGTTTTTCGCAAAGTTTAATGTGGCTATAAAGTGGGGCGATTCAAAGAAAAACATTTGTGTCAGTTTCATGGTGTTGTGTGCTAAGTGGCATATCCAGATTTTGAGGATGAAATACACCAGTATGCATATTTATAATTCCACCTCTGCACACACTACATTTTTATTTATCTATCTGCAAAGGCATGTGGATTAACTCAGGCTATGCTGCTCCTTCACACATTCAAGACAAGACAACATCTTGTTCTTTAAACACATACAGCATTTTTAATGGTGATCAAAGATGCATGATTGTTTAAAACAAGGGATATGTTGGTTTAAAGAATGTGGTGTAAACACATTGTAATATATGATATTCCTATGATAGGCTTAGAAAATAACAGTAAATAAATACCTAAAAAATGTTTCACACCATATCTTATTTTGAGTGTCATCCAGGGATGTTTCAATGTACAAATGTCAGAGTTAAAACATCATATAACTGTTTTAAACATTTATTTTTCCATTTGAGAAGCTTTTACTGTGTATGTTTATCGAATATGTCTGAAGTACATGCAGCACTGAATTGGTAATTAAAGAAATCCAAGATGATCACAAGAAGAAGCAAGACATGACTATGTGCACAGATAGAGCCATTTTTGTCATTCAGTTTCGCTGTGTGGAATTTGATTTACACTGAATTTACACTGAACCTGCTGACTGTTGCCTTGTGTTTTCCATAACTCAGTAGTTATTCCTCCCCTTTTTCAGGACCCAGTACTACGTGCCAAGAGGATTCATGTGCCAACCAGGGTGTGTGTCTCCAGCAATGGGAGGGCTTCAGCTGTGACTGCAGCATGACCACATTTGGAGGACCTCTTTGTAACGATGGTAGGATTTACCTCCAATTGTTTTCCGTCAGTTCACATTTCTTTTGCTTGAGGTCATTCCTTCTTGTGTACAGAATGAATATAACTTTTGACACATTCTTTGTTCAAGTCTGTAAAGGTTTCATAAAACTCGTTCTGTAGATTTGGCTCCGTCAATGGTGTGCAGGAAACTGTTATTATATTATTAATAGCCTAACATGGGTGTCATCAACAACTGCAAGGCTACTTTTGTCTTGTGCTTCCACACAGCGTTCAAACCCTTTACTTACTGCATGCTTTACATTTTAAAGAGATGTGTTGCTATATTATGACGATTTTACTTTTAATACTGTCTTATGGGGTGCAAGTTTGGAAAATATCATGTCTTTCATTATGGAGTTGAGAAGTGAGGCAACTCTAAGGAGAAGAGACTTTGAAATAAGCAAAAGTGAGGTGAAAGCTCATTAAAAGTTGATCAATTGACCACTAGAGGGAGCAATGCACTCACAAATATGTTAAATCAAGCCTTCTAACCGGAGCAAACAAATTAACATTATGATTTTTAATGTAAATCCCCCATGAAGTTTGCAGTTTCACCAAAATGTAATAAGTTATTTGTCACTCTTTTTTTTGGGCTGGGAAATCAATCAATCAATCAATCAATCAATCAATACATACATACATACATAAACACACACACATACACATATATACACATATATATATATATACTTTTCAATATCCATATATATATATTGATTTTGGTTTTGTGCATATAAAAGTAAAATGTTAAGGCATTCAAGGATATTAAAACATAGTGAAGTTAGCATTTGTCTTGATGGACCCTTTGAAAACATACTGAGAGAAATATGGTAATTTCTGCTCTACCTTAAAAAAGAAGAGGAACACTTCTTTATGCAAATCGTGTAAAGGGGGCTTTTGTTTGGTCATTAATTTCTTCTGCAGCAGTTCACACAGTGAGGGGTGAATGGGCACAGTGCTCAACTGCATTAGGGATGAAGGAACAGAGTGGGCCCTCCAGAGATGGCACAAAAGCAGAGGCGAGTGGGCCATAAATGTTAATGCATTCTGTGTCACTTCTTACAGTTTGATAAGATCCTGTCTTTTGTTATCAGCAGAAGGCATTGATAGATTCTTATGCGGGCCTTATACCCTGAACAAATCTGCAGCCAATGATAACACTAAAAGGATTCTTGTGTTGGTGAAATGTGTGCTCGGAAGATCAACTGCTTCCTTGCCTTCCTCACACTGTATTTGAGGAATCAAAGGATGGCATCAACAGAGGAATATCTATTTGATTTGTTTATGTTTTTCCCTTGATCCTTACTTGTTTGGGGCAAGACAAGTTTCTTTTCTTTGTCTTTTCCTCTTTCGTGCAGATTGATTTGTTTCCCAGCATTGGGAGCAGAGGGACTCACAGGATCTGAATGTATATGTTATATCTGAGAAAAGTGCTTCACCTGCTGAGTACATTCCTGCTGACCTGACAAAACAATAGGTTGGATCAATGGGCAGGCTCAAGGGAATCAATATGTGGCTGTAATAAATCAAAACAATTCAAGAAATCTTTTTTCCTTAGATAAACTGAGCTAGTTCACAGAAAAAAGTGATGCCAGGAGTCTTCCAACAGAGAAAAATTCGGCAGGCAGAGGTTTGGCTTTATCAGTATTGATGGAATGTCCATGCTATAAAAGGTAAAGAATGAGAGACGCCTTTACAAAATAAATACAAGGTATTTTAGAAAGGAGCAACGGAAGTCAGAAATGGGAACCCTACACAGCTAACTCACTGGTTTCCTAAATATTGAATCGTCTCAAACAGAAGAAAAAAACGTCTCTGCACCGACCCAATAATATTTCATGAGATTTAAATGTATGTTTGTCAATCAAAAACATGAGGGATAGTATGTCTGATGACCAGTTTTATCTCTGTTAGTTGCACATCTACATTTTTAACGGAAGTTGTTTTGTGTTTTTTAAATTATTGATTCAAATCCTAAAGCTGAAATGAATGTGTTCAACATTAGTTTTCAGCCCTGTAATCTACAACTGAGATCATTTTGATACATTTCGTATCATCATTTTACAAGAAACATTTTATTCTTGAATTGTGCAAAATGTCTTTTATAATGTCAAGCTTGAAAGTGAAATCATATCTGCAGGATATCTATATGCGGGTTTGTTAGTAGATTAGGGTCCATATCCTAACAATATTATTTAAAATAATAATTCAATCACCATGGAAATTGTATATGTTGCTACTCTTTGCACATTGTTTTTCACTTAGTTGGCTGTTGAATGTGATACAATCTGATGAAAGCATCTTTACTTTACAGAACAGAGTGGTGTATTTTCACTGCAGAATGATTGGCAAGATGATAAAATAGATTAAATGAATATGGTCTGACTCTTCATCACCCCCCAAACATTTAATCCCAGTGGTGTGTCTCAGCTTTTTGGACACGGAGTCTTTGAGTTTTATTTATAGAGCCAATTATCCTCACTATATACCTACAGTCAGTGTAACTGGAACAAGAAGAAGAAATCACAAGCTGTGTGCTGTCAAAGATGAGTCAGATTTCCCTCTGAAAGTGGTATTTTAAAAATGGTTGTGACTGTTCTGTATGGTGTTAAGCATACATTTAGTCATATCTATACCAGCAGTTTATGATAACAATAGATATAAAACTATTACATCTTGTGTTTTGCTTGTGAGTCTGTGACAACATTTGCCGACTGGGTTTCTTTGTGTCACTATATCTGTTTTGAATGATGATATCGATCAGCTAAAAGGAAATAGTCCCAAGAACTGTATGCTGGACAAGAGTATCAGTTCATATTACCATATTACATCTTATCCTTGGTAATGTCCACTGGGGTTTTGGAGGTTGTTCTAGATTCAATTTAAAGACTGGCTTGGATTTGTATGTACATTTGTAGATGGGAGTTCAACTCCACTCTGGACCTCCAGAGGGAATTAGCCTGCAGTGGTCAAGAT